ATACAATGAGTTGAACTTTTAACGGTTGTGTGTTCATACACAACAGTAAGTGTATGTACTCATATGCAATAAGTGCATTTATATGAAATATTTAGGTTAGGATAAGTTGAATGTAAGGTTTATGTTACACTAATAAAATCCAATGTGATAAAATCAAGTACACCTATATCTATCACCACTCTATGTATCAAATAACACACATAAGTAGTAAATAATATGTTACACTGTGTTACAAATAAAGTAAAGAAAGTGATGAACACAATGATAAAACACTTATCCAGTACCTACACAATTCACAAAAAAAGGAGAGTTTAGTAAAGAGTCTAGTAATACCTACTTTGTGTAGTAGTAATATTGAGAAAATGTTAATTTATATAGCAAAACGTGAAGTATCCTGTTTAGGTCAAAGTTGATATATAAGTTTAGTTGTAAGTTAATCTAGGTAGGTATCAAATTTTAGTCAATGTATGAGCTTGACCCAGCGTTTGTTATGCAACTGAAATCTGAAACAGTGGCAACACAATTGAATGTCGTTCAAGTTATTCTACAATTTGCTTTCCACACATACAATTATAATATAATAAGCTGAATGGAATTCTTATGATAAAATAGACATTTAGTTTTCAAGAATGTTGTACCGAGCCAGTACAGTATTGTAAAGTATGAGTAGGTATAGCAGAGTAACCTAAGTTATGTACAGAAACAATTTATATAATATGTATATCTAAGATCACAGTGAATATTAACACGGAATAAACGTAAACAAATCTATTGTATTAACTTTTGAAAGAATATAAACATTTCTAAGAGTACCACATGTTAAATGATAAAATGCCTATATATATGTCACACTGTAGTACAAACAAAGCTAGTTGTATAAATAAAGTAAAAAAAATGTGTTGAACACTGTTGTTTAGTAGTAATATTAAGAAAGTGTAGGTAAGACACTACTTGTTGTCATTTTGAATGTGAAATGATAAAATAAAGGCGAGTAGACCTAGGTACTAAGTAAGCAGTAGTATTAGTATTTCGTATCATAATCATGTGTAACTACTGTAAATATTATTATTATCTGTAATATGCAAACTTTTATTGTAATTTATGTAGATGCCGTTATTTAATTAATATTGTTATGTAATTTAATTAAACGATGGCGGACTGGCGGGAAAGCAAAGCATATAGGCAGTCAGATTCAGATTCAGAATATAGATTCAGATAAAAAAAAAAAAAGTAGTAGTAGTAATATTAAGAACTGTGTAAGTAAACGTTTAAGTATTTTGTTTATTGGTTGTAAATACCCATAATAATGAAACAGCAATATTGTTTGTAATTTTTTAAATAATAAAAGCAATAACAAAAAAGAGTATAATTTAATACAGAATGTTAACCAACAACAATAACTAAATGCAAGTAGGTACCTTTTGGATTTGGTTTGCACTCTAGTAGGTATAGTACCAAACTGTAGCCATTGTAAAATACCTGCCACCTGGGTATATTCACACTTTATGAGTTGTCAAGTTATAACGTATAGTAATGTAATGATCAAGTGAGCGAATCGTATGCAGTAGGTGCAGCCCGGCACTATTTGTTCAGTACAGCGGTCAAATGTTGTATTTTGGTTGTTACTCACTACTGATGGCACTGCTCCAGCAATGAGTCGACGGCGAAATACCGCGCCTGCGTAATCACGACCAGGAACGAAATGCCTCGAACAAAGCTTGGAGTTATTCGATATCCGTAGAGGATTGACACCATTGTTCTCGGCGAACATCACCCACTGACGCTTCTGAAAGACATTCGCTGGAAAACTAATACAATAATTATTGTATTATGAATTATTATGTATTTTAATCTCAAAAGTAATCGTATATATTATGTAAATGCACTTACCCATGCACTGAAACGCCATCGACGCCATCCACGTTGCCACAAATCGCACAATGCTTGACCATCGTTATATTTGCCTAAAAAGATATAGAATAACATTTTGAAAAGGTAACGGCCAAACATTTTATATATTATTATAATAATAATAATATTATAAGTAAAACTCCGTGTTCGTGTAATGGAATTGTCTTATCAGTACCTATGTTATCAGTGAATAATCCGGTGTTGTGTGTTTATTTTTAGAAATGCAGTAAATTGTATTATTCTTACGCGGTAGGTATAAAATATTATTACGTGTACATATACAGTATCGAGTTCGAGTATGAACCAAAATGGGATGCCACAAACATAATTTATTTTATAATATAGGCAGGAAATGAAATAAAAACGCATAGTGGAAGTGGATTAGTAAAATAAAATGGATTGTTCTGTTTAGATATCCACGTCAATACACTTAAATAAAACATTTTTCGATCAATCATCGTTCCGGTATGCGGTGCAGTGGTGATTCATGAGGCTTCGGTGCGGACTAATTAGAGTTCGAGCCTCCCAACCGACTATAATTTTTTGATTTTTTTTTCCATGTTAGTTCTTCCACCAAACACGGACAGCGCTAGTGTGCTACCTAAAAACATTAACATTGAGTTGCCGTTCTATTTAGTATTCTTTTCTATGGTCACTACTCACTAGTCTTTAATAGTTTAATCTTTATGCCATATTGCCATTTGCGACATTTGCGACTTGTTTTTCTTAAGCTACCTATGCTCTAGTTTTATTACCGTTTTCGTGCGTCGCAAATCGGAATTATTGAGTTCAAAGCCATCAAGTCGTCTGCAGTTTGTGGTAATTATTAACTTTTCAACTATAGGAATTATAATTACCAAGTAGGTACCTATTAGTTTTTTCGCTGTCATCGCCATTGTCTGAGAGTCTGACCAGTGTGTCGACTTGTGCTTGACATCCTTGGTCATCATCGATTTGTACATTCCACGTGTTCAAATAGTTCTACTCCACTATAATATTGTGAATTGTGTTTAATATATTATTATTATACACAATTCCTATAATTTTAGTATAATAATACAATAATATATAATGTATATTGTAGCGTCTTGAGTTCATTTGGCTGTTTCGCTGTTTTGGTCGTTTAACGGATTAAAGTATTTTAGGGAGGTTAACCGTATAAAACGTAATAACTGTACATGTACCTACGTCTTATTGATGAGCATAATTTTTATTTTGAAAACAATCGATTTTATCACTTGATCTCGAAACGCTTAAGTTAAATCAATCATATAAAAATTATTTTGTTATTTACCTACCTACCTACTGGCTACTATATATTCTGTCAAGTCTTTAATACTACTCTAATATACATTTTACATTTTAAAACAGTATGATTTTATAGTTTATATGGATGTTATAAGTAGTAGGTACCTAGTGTTGTCTCTATCTTACACACGTATAGGTACAACATAGAAAATGTCCGTTAACAAGAATTGATTGTGTTGTCATTAAAGTGAACGAACCTTATAACTAAATTGAAAGGTAAGGATATTATCTGTTCTTAAGCGTTAGATTGTTTTATATTTTTATTTTTAAGTGAGATAGGTAGGTACCGAAGCCTTTTTACTATGTGATATATTTACACATACTCATGTGTTACTTGAAAATTAAAATATAAAAAAACCGATGCTTGAGTATTGATAATGTTGTTACCTTTGAGTTTCAAAATAGATCAATTCACATCCAATATTAAAACAAGCAATACACAATTGATTCTGATAAATTAACGTAGGTATTTTGATGATATTTTTTAATACACGTGTATAAGACAGACAAATGATGTAGCATCATCTTAAAATAAATATCTATCTACATAAAATCATGTAGTTTCGGTCGGTATGTACCTATTTTATGAATCTAAATAAAGACAATTAATATACCTACTTAGGTAGGTACATATTACCTAAGTAATTACTAATTATTATAATGTATAGACTTTTTTATATTTATTTAAATTTAAATAAAATTAGGTAACTTACTTTATACTAGGTAGCTAATAAATAATATTTACTTGATTCTTAATACTACGTATAGGTACCTATAACTAATATTAGGTATGTAATTTGTACAACCTAAAGTTAAAAATTTCCTACAACCACAATCTGAAAGAAAGTAGGTACCAATGTAATAAAATATAAGAAAGGTACCTGACCTATCAACATGGGAACTAAATTTTCTGTATTTTTAATTGACTAATAATTATTTAGGTATTTTGATTGCCATGAATTATTTAAAAAAAAAAACCAAGATAGGTAATAAATAATAATGAATAGTTCAAAATAATATAACTAAATTACTTACCCACTCAATTGTTTCAATTAATTTTAATTTCAGTTAGTAATAAGTAGGGATGAGAACTTATAGGAGCTAAAATAGGTAGACAAAATATGCAAGGAAAAATTATGATTTATGCATCAAAAATTTGAAAATAGGCAAAAAATATATTATAATATGCAATTTTTTCTATAAATAAAAAAACATGTTAATAATAAATTAATATAAATAATATTTCGTTAAAATTGATTCTGTTAAAATATAAATAATTTTTAACTGAGTGATAAAAAATTAATACTAGGTATAAATATGAGGTGATAAATGATTGGTAGGTGTATTGATTATCAGGTGATTTAATCTAAAATAATAAAAATAAAATTTTATAATCTTGTAATATATTTAATAATTATTTTTTCATACCTGTAAATTTGTTGCTTTTATATACTATTAAATGTTATTGATTATTGACTACAAACTTAGAAAATTCAATAAAATAATAAATAATTTTACTGAATATGCATTTTTATGCTCAAAAAAACATGAATATGCAACTTTTAAGAAAACTACCAATATATGCTACAATATGCAAAATTTAAATACCAAATTTTAATTCATTAGGTTATAGAACAGATTTTTAGCTCACTTGACTATAAATAGGAGATATAGAAAAAAATGTGCAAATCCTATAACTTCTCATCCCTAGTAATAACTAATAACATAATATGAGTTTCTTTATTTAATTGTATTTAAAAATTCATTTTGTAGCTTATAAAATGATTCGAAGTGGACGTTCTAAACGCAGAAAAATTAGAAATGAACTAAATACACTTTGTACATTACATTCAAAGTTTTTAAACAAAGAAGATAATATTGTTGAACCAGCTGTATTGGATGAAAATGAAGATTTAACTCATCCTTTAATTCCCATTCAAGATAATAATATTGTCTTAAGTCAAGATGAATCTTGCTCCTTGTTTGAATTTGTTAATCAATCTCCACCGTCAGTTGAAGTTGGGGTTAATCCATTTAATTTAGAAGAATCCATCAACGATTCAGTATTAAATGAAACTACACCCTTTTCAAATTCAGTATCTAGTTCAAACTTTATTTCTATGGAAGATCAAATATGTCAATGGGCAATTCAATTTAATATTAAACATAATGCTGTCAATAGCTTGTTAAGTTGCTTGAAGAATCATAAGTGTTTTAAACATTTTCCGATCGACAGTAGAACACTATTTGGTACCCCAACTCAAAAATCAAAAGAAATCAGAACTGTACACCCTGGAATCTACTACCACTTTGGTTTGGAATTTGGAATTAAGAAATATGCACCAACAAATTCATGTTGTATCGAAATTGCTATAGGTATTGATGGGTTACCATTGTCCAAAAGTAGTGGGGCTCAATTCTGGCCTATTCTTGCATACATAATGAATATTCCAAAGAAAATGGTTTTTCTTGTTGGCTTATATTATGGAACTGAAAAACCTCATGATAGTAACGATTTTCTAATAGATTTTGTTCAAGATGCCAATAATCTTATAACTAATGGTATAATTTTAAACAATACTAATATTAAAGTTTCAATCAAATTATTTACATGTGACGCACCGGCTAAATCGTATGTGCTAAAAGTTAAAAGTCATGCAGGTTTTTCTTCATGTACTCGATGTACCATTGAAGGAGAGTATATTAATAATAGAGTTGCATTTCCTTATTCAGAAAACCATTCAACAAAAAGAACACATGAACACTATCTGCAAATGTATGACGAAGATTATCATATTTCAAACCAAATTTCCATTTTAACACAAATTGATGGATTTAATTCTGTTAATATGTTTAGCATTGATTATATGCATCTTGTGTGCCTTGGTGTTACTAAAAAGCTTATGATTCTTTGGTTTAGTAAAGGTCCCTTAACATTTTATTAAATAAATATATTTTTTATTTTTCCACCTATTTTTCGTTTTTAGGATGGCTTTTTTATTACTGAATCTTGCGGAATGTTTAATCAACGCTTTTTCCGCCAGATATGAAAAGAAAAATGAAGACAAAAGTTTAGAATGGTGGCAAACTGCGGTTTACTACCAAGTCTATCCGAGATCGTTTAAGGATAGCAATGGTGACAGTATAGGAGAACTTAAAGGTAACGTTATAACTTATATTATTATTTCAATGTTTTATTGTGTGTTTTTGAAATTTTGTAAAGGGATTGAAGAAAAGGCTGAACACTTCAAAGACCTAGGAGTGGACTGTGTTTTGTTATCACCCATTTTTAAATCACCTATGGCAGACTTTGGTTATGATATTTCGGATTACAATATGATTGATCCCGTATATGGCACATTGGCTGATTTTGTTTCATTGCAGGAAAAAATAGAATCTTTGGGTAAGTAAAGACATTTTAAACTTGAAATAATAATAATAATAAGAATAATAATAAAAAAAAAATAATAACATAATGTTGTTTTGATGACTTTGTGGTAAATTAAATACCACCTATTAATAAAATATAATTGATTGATTTTGTTTTTTATGTATAATATATAAGTACCTATATATTAATTGTACCTACTAGACATCAAAAAATTCTCAAAACCAAAATAGTTATGTTTATATATTACCAAAATAAATTAACAAAAATGAAATATAGGGAGTAACTACTTATTTAAATTTAAAAGGTGAATTATGTTTATTAATTTTTTAATTTTTCCAAACTAGTTTATTTTAATATTTTAAATTTACAAAATAAGTTAGTAAATAGTAATAGACATATTCGTCAATATTTAAATTATTGTGAATAAGTGTTCATAAAAATGTATTGAAACACCTAAAAATAATTTTATTTTTATTTTCCTTAATATTTCGTAATAATCGTCTCATAGTATAAAGAATAAAGTCAAACCAATTAATATTCATTCTATAATCTATATTGAGTATTGACTATATTAAACACCTAATAAAAACATAAGATAGTGTCTCTAAATTATATCACTTAATAAATCAGTAAAATTTCTAAAATATCATCCTAATTTTAAAATTACGTTTATTTATAAATTTCATGAAACTTAACTTTCAAAAATATTTATATATTAACAAATATTATATGCATTATAAAATATACAGGACGATTCACCAAGTATGCTCACCTCAATTATTTCCTTTCATAATACATTTATTCAAGCTCTGATTGCAGAATTTTAAAGAACCAGATTTTTAATTATTCAGATTATATTATACCATTTAATGAGTGTCCCGTGGCCATGGTTCTTTTTTTTAAACGAGAACTTAGATTTTTTACTGTAATTAGTTAAGAAGATGATTTTTTTGAACATTTTGAATTATAGACCGCTATTGATTAAAATTTGAACTAGTAATTTCTAAATTATTAAAATATATTATATACAAAGGATAAATATTCTTTAAAAATGGCTTACAAAAATATAAATCAAATCTAATATTGGATATAGTATAATCAGAAATGTTTGCAATTATAAAATGTTGATACATTGATATAAATTACTAAAAAGATACTAAAAATATTTTGACAATATAGGCCCCATATTTTCAGAATCCATTATGTCATAAACTTATAATATTTATTAAACAATGTTATATAACTCAAAAATTACCCATTCACATTTCAATTCAGATTGGTACATTAAAATGTTTAAAAAACGTTCTGATTACATAAAGGTAATATAAATTATACAGGAAAAAGGTTTATTTGCTTTTGAAAAAAAAAATTATATCCCCACAGAACGTTCCTTAAATGGGATAAAAAATCTTCATAATTTAAAATACAGTACTTCAGTATAAGAAGTACCAAGTACTTTAAAAATAAATTCGTAATTAAATTAAAAAATAAAAAGAATAAGGGTATGCACATAAATAGTAATATTTAACAATGTATTTTTATCTGTAATAAAAATCTAAAATAATAATTTTTATAATTTAGGCATTAAAATTATTTTGGACTTCGTACCTAATCATTCAAGTGATGAACACGAATGGTTTAAAAAGTCTGTGGACAAAATTATGCCATACAAAGATTATTATGTATGGAGAGATGCTAAATACGATGACAATAATACGATAACGCCACCAAATAATTGGGTAAAGTATTTCAAGAATTGAAAATCATAATTCAATATTTTGTTTGTTTTCATTTATGACGTTTAAAAAAAATGTCTGTAACAGCGTATTCTGCGTATTGAATTTTTTTTTGTCTTGCAATTGTTATACTTTTATATTTTATTTTAATTAGCATAGTAACAAATTATAGGGGGACGGAGTGGCCGAGTGGACTAAGGCGTCAGTTGCGACGCGCGCTGTCGCCGGCTTGAACTCGGCCATGGGTGGCAATTTTCTTCGGGCAGTCACGGTGTCCGGAGAAAGAGGTCGCCATCCTCCACCCGGGTATGGCAGATACATACGGGTGCCCTCTTGAAAATTCTGCCAAAAAAAACACACACATGTTCAACACCTACAGTACCCCCCCCCCCACCCCATAGTTCCACAGGCTAATGACCTCTGCAGTTGTCGAAGCCTCAACCCCAAAAAATAAAAATAAATATAAAATAATTTTTTTTTAAATATTGTATAAACGTATAATATTATTATGTATACATTTTTTCAGCAGTTTATTCAGTAATTCAGCATGGACATGGAATAAAAAACGTGAACAGTATTATTTACACCAATTTGACCGTAAACAACCAGATTTAAATTACAGAAATAAAGACTTGGTTAAAGAAATGAAAGTAAGAATACATTCCAAGAAAAAATAAAAATAAAACAATAGAACTATACATCACATACTTATGATATTAGATTTCAAAGTAATGATAAACCGATTTCAAAAAAAAATGTTATTAACTGTTAAAAGTATTTTCTAGTTAGGATTTATATTTTATATTTGCGTTACATGAAACTTTTGGAGCTCTCCTTACGTTTAAAAAATAAATTACAATAAAAATAATACCAATGTAGAATTTACTTGGAATTGATTACCTATAAAAAATTAAGTAGATTTAAAAAGAGAAATATACTTAGACGTGAGTATAAGTGTAGAGTAGAAAATAGACAAGTTACCTATGATTTTCCCATACAATACTCGCATTAATAACCTTTTCCAGATAATTAAACACTTTATAATTTGAAAATAAATTACAATAGATAATACATAGGTACCTATTAATATTGTATGAGAAACTTATAAGATGACGTCTTCCAAGCATTTATACTCAAATGCTGCTTTTTTTATATTGATTTTGACCAATAATTTGTAAATTTGTTTTATGTTTAATTAATATTACTTACATACACGTAAATTATTATATTTATGGATACTCGCTTGTACTCACCTGAATTTATATTATTTTCTGAGAGGATCAATAAATATACCTATGTTGGTTTTACATGCATGTATAAAAAAAATTTAATTTCTAACTTTTTTTTAACTTGTTAACTAGTTTATTTTTAATGTCCACTTGTACTTCACAGTTACCTTTTGGCTTTTTATCTTTTTTTTTATAGTACTACTAAGCAACAAGGCTATATACAGTAGAGCTACTTCCACGGTTTTTACATTTGTAATTATCTATAGTTAAGAGGACGTGTCACCCAAAAAAATCACTCGAAAAATTCCTTTAAAAACATGTTTGCGCGTTCCAATAATATGGGTTACTGAGTGGTTTTATCATAAAAACACCTATGAACAAAATTGTAGAGGAGAATTTTATCTGGTTCCGTAAGAAGCCCGATTTTTGAAATTTTCATTTCTAAGTCCTAAAATTAACTTCTGGAAAATGAAAAAAAAGTGTATTATTAATCATGATATATTTCATGATGTTTTAAAGATATCAAAAATCGGGCTTCTTACGGAACCAGATAAAATTCTCCTCTACAATTTTGTTCATAGGTGTTTTTACGATTAAACCACTCAGTAACCCATATTATTGGAACGCGTAAAGTATGTTTTATAAGAAAACTGCAGAAAATTACGCTCGGCAAGTGCTGCGCCCGTAGTCAGTGGCAGCGTTCGATACTAGCTGTGCATACCACCACCCCGCGCGCATTAACGGCGGTACCGCACCGTGGTCAAAACCTTCGACCATATAAACTAATAGACGCGCCTTATCATATACTTGTATAGGAACAATTTTGTAGCCCACATGTTTAGTGATATGACGTCACGTTTGGGCAAAATAACAAATAATATTATACTATGATTATATTATGAATAATAAGTAATATACTAATATGTACTAAATAATACTGATAATAACCCGAGTAATCGACTTGTCGTAGTAAATATATACTAATATTGATTTTTTTAATTATACGTAATACCTAACTAATAATTTATAACACTATAAGTAATAAAAATAATTTAAAATTGGTTCATTGGTAATAAATAATAATATATATAAGTAGATTTTAAGTATTATATTATTATTAAAAAAAAAATGGGTCTTTTCATGGGTAAGTCCAAAAAAATTATCAACTAGGTATTCTTAATTTAATTTAATTTAATATAAACTACCTTACTACTATTCATTTAAACTTTAAAGTTTATACATCTATCTGGATTTGTAGTTAGGCAAGTAAAAAAAGTTGTTAAATGCAATCCTTGTATTTGTGCTTTAACTTCAACTGATCACAGATCTCGACTTGTGACTCTGAAACAATATTCCTCAAACCCACACACCGGACTCATAAATGCTTCACCTGATGTTATTTATTTGTGTAAACTAGCCAAATCAGAATTCAGAATAATTGAAGGAACAGCTAATTTAAATAAGGAAAACATAATTGAGATATTAGTGATCAAATGTTTACGAAATATGAATAAATCCGTTTTTAAGTGTTTTCATGATCATATTTTGATGAGGACGCTCAAGGAAATTATGTAATATTTTTGGTAAAA